GGGTACCCTGGGCAGGGGGGGCTGGGGCCCTGGTGGGGGGGCCTGCACCCCTCCTGAGCAGCCCCATCACAAGGTCCCCCACACTGACAGTCCCCCCCAGCAATCAGCCCACACCAACCCACATCCCTCTACACACACACCCACCCGCCTTCCCCCACACCCCTTCCCACCCGCTTCCTGCAAACACCACATCCCCCTATCAAACACCCATTATGTGCGAAGAAAACCAAAAGTACACATCAACACATATAGGTATTAAGAATTTATTTTATCATGATGATAGAGACACTGGTAGGCTTCCACATTGCTTTGACATTGTAAATATACTGATAAAGCATTACCCAACTGATTGCACTTGCACTCGCTCTCTCTCGCTAGATATATATCTATAGTGTGTGTGTGTGTGTGTGTGTGTGTGTGTGTGTGTAGAGTGGTTTTTTTTTTTCAGTGGAAAAACATATAAACATAGATTTTGGGGTATTTTTAAAAATGGATTTGGGATGCTGCTGCAGCAGTCCAGCTGGCACAAGGGGTAGTGTCCCCAGGTACCAAGTGGCCAAGCCCCAGAAGCTCCTGTGAGTGAGTAGCCCTGAGCTGCTTGCCAGAGAGCAGTTTTTTTATACTGCTGGACACAGCACAGGTGCTGGCCCCGGGCTTTAGCTCCCCCTGGCTGCAGATCCAGGAGGAACCAGGCAGGGTTATTTTGCCCCAAGTGACACAATTTGCTCCACAACAAAGTGCATGTCCGAGCACATGCACTGAGGCAAAAAGCCCTAGCTCAAATTTACACAGCTTCTATTTGAGCTGCTGCAAGCGCACATGTTTGCATGTGTGGATGCACCCTAATACATATATCATGTGTTGGGATGTCATGTTAAGTTTTAAATACCAGTAAACTGCATTGTAAAACATACTTTTTTTTTTTTTTTTTTTTTTTTTTAATAGCTATCATACATGGTTCCTCTGGCAGCTATTAGTAAGGGTGTAGACAGATGGACACTTGTAGCCACTTCAAAAGGCCAGGGGGGGAGCTGCTGCTTGGGAGCACACAGCAGCTGTTCAAGTGTTTATATCTGCATGATCATGTAGCCATACAAGTGAGCTAAATTGCTCCATCTTTAACCGTGCATCATCCAGGGTCAAAGTTAGGGTTATTTTTGCTACACTTATGTCACTGTATAATCATGCAACAGTTGCATCTTAACAGCATGTATTAATATTGTTTTATAATCATACAATTGTTACATCTGCCGGTACTCTTAAATTAGTGTATGCTGTCCCTATTACTAATCATTGCAATGAGACCTTGCTTAAAATCCAGTCATCTTGATTTTTTTAGATGCAAATACAGCTGCCTATACTAGGGAGGAAGAGAAGAGAGGACAAAATTTAACTAAACAACCGCAAAATCATGTTAAGTCTAGTATGACATTAAAATAACTAGCCAGTCCTCTGTCAACTGATGCTGATGACATATACAACAACAAACACAAGTCAGTTTATATTTGTAATGAATGCAATGTGGAGGATATTGTATTGGGTTTCTAAAAGTATTTGGCTCTTCCACATCTGTGCCTGTTGTGTGCTAGTTCTGCCTGATTTTTCAGGGTATTTCAGCGTTGTTCCTTTGAGAGTTGATCTCTTTAGCATGTGCTGTTGAGTGGATCAGGCTACAGTCGCCTTGCAACTGGGCTGAGTCCTACCAAGCCCAAGTCTTATTAGCCCTTTTCTCAACGATCTGTTTTCAGGACTGGAATCAACGAGTGAAGAGTAAGGCTCTTGCCAGTGCCAGTGAAATTCCTGCAGGCATAACAAGTGCTAGACCTTTTGATTTGTTATGAAATTTTGTTAAAAAACATGCACACATTTGATTTTAACATGGATTGCATTAAAAAGCTGAGTAATGTGTGCTGTGCTGTGCTGTGCCGTGCCGTGCCGTGCCGTGCCGTGCTGTAAAGGATGTGCCCCTTTAATGTTCTTAGCTTGTTTCCTGTTTCTCTTACTCTTCACTGTCAGTTTTCCTGACTTTGTTTTCCTGTTTTTTCTTTATTTCACAGTCCGAATAAAAGACTCTCAAGCAAGAAGGTAGCAAGGTATGCTGGCATTTTGTATTATCCTTTTGCAGTAGGAAAGGAATGTGCTTGCGCAGATTCAGATGTGCAGTGTGCTTGAAACTATATAGATGTGCAATATTTTACTTGTAGATAAATGAATGTTACCTTCTGCAAAATATGTAATTTATAGCTGGTTTAATTCTCATGATATATTTTAAACAGCTAATTTTAATACACCTCTTGACTGCCATAAACTTGGCTACTTCTTGAATGTTCTCAAACCTCCCCAGTCCATGTGTGACCCAAGATGGGTGGAGATTGGGGGGCTGCTGTGGAAGATCATCTCCATTCTGAGAACTCCTGGTAACTGATACCCTTCTGTCTATTATTAGAGTTATTAGTTTAGACTGAGTGAGTATTTGCTGGTTCAGTCAGTTGGGCAGGCACATCCAATCAGAAATGAGAGCTCATTAAAACCAATTCACTCTGAAACAAGTCCTCTGTTTCTGTTTGTTTCTGCTCTATTGAGTGTTGTGCACTCTATCCTGCTTAATTTCTTTACTACCTTCATCCAGACCTCATCATTTCATGGACTCCTTAGATATTAGAGTTGAGCTAGCCCTTACAGCTGAGGCTTTACATGGTTGTTACAGTTCTCTCTGCATAGATTAAGTCTGCCTTAAGGTTTGTGTACATGGGGAAATGTATCACTGCAGTTACATCAGTAGAACTCCTCTTGTGGACACTGTATAATAAAATATAGGCACCTGTTTATCTCTGAGGTTCTTTTTAGAAGAGACTTTGGTAACAGTCTTGGTAACTGTTTGTCAGCTTCAAGTCTTTCCCTTCAGGGGAGGTAGCTTAAGATTTCTTTACTCCCCTCCTGCCCCCCCTCACCCTATGTTGGCTCTATTTTGAAATTTTAAGAAAGGTACTTTTAGCTAGCTGTCCCACCTGCCCTGTTCATTTCCTGGCATTCTCTTCATTGGTATCTCCTCTAGGATTTTTTTAAATCATATATGAGAATCAAATACTTTTGTTCAGTGCAACTCAAGTGAAAGGAGGGGGTGGGAGAGAGACAATTTTAGTATTCATCTTTTCACATACATACACCTTCTTTAAATTTTGATTTGGGGGGGGTTGTTTGAGAAATGGGAGCTGGTCTTTTGAATGGTCAGTGATTTAATTTGCATTTTACAAAAGCCTGTAATCTCAGACTTTCCTAATCTGCTTGTTGCAGCCACCATCTTTGCTGGATCATTTGATCTGTGTGTCATGTTTCAAGAAATTTTCACTTTCATTGTGAATCTCTTGAGATCAGAAATGCAGGGAGGGCTGGTCCTGTCTTGTCAGGCTTCCCTTGGACAGTAGTCTTCCTGTGCTGGATTCAGTATCTCAGGAGTTCTTAGAAATCTTTTCCCAGCTGTTTTCCTCCACTGTTTCCTTTCCAGTCTTTTCTGTGGCAAACTAACCCTTCCAGGCATGATTCTTTCTTGCTAGAGAGGAAGTATGTCTTGAGTATTATTCTCTTACTTTTAAACTCTGTTCCTTAGAATCTTTTTGTCTCCTTGTGGTTTATTAGGAAACAGTTTCTAAGCTCTTTAAGGCTGCCCATTAATTTAAGAGATTTTTAACATGCTGTATTCCTCAAGTTGCTTTTTGTGTTCTACCTGCTAACAAAATCACTTGGGAATTTTCATTTTAAATTTTAAACTGTTCCCCAGCCTCATCCAACTTGGATTCTTCGTCTCTCTTCATCTATCACAGTGGATCCAAGATCACAGTTCCAGGTAGCTTTATACTCGGAACCTGGCCAGTGTCAGATTCACAAATTCAGATTTTTGGTAGTGCTTTTCAGGGGGCAGTCACTTCACTTATTCTTCTCTGTGGTGGTGGTTGAGCTCTGGTTGAGAGGATAGAGAAATTCAGCAGTACCGTGATGGTTGTTAATAATACTTCTGATTGAATGTGTGCATCTGCCTGAAGAAATAAAATGGGTTTCTGATAAAACCTGGGGTTATCTAGTTTGAACCCAGGTTTCTTTCTTTTTCATATCTTTTTTAAGAGGGATCCCTTCTCTTTAAGGTAAATACCTGTTTTTAATAACTTTGCCTGATGCTGTGAATTATCGTTCTTTCTTGCATCTTTTATTATACAACACCCATGTATTTTTCAAAGCTGGTAACATTGTGCCAAATTAGTTTCAAGCCTCAAGTACTCTTTAATATAGAACCCCAGTACTGGCTCTAGAAAGCGGAACTGATATCTGTTCAAAATATTCTGAGAATCCATTCAGTGTCTTCATTCTAAAGAATAGAGGTACTTGCAATGCAATTGTCAGTACTTGAGGATCAGGCTAAGAATCAGAATTCTGCTTTCGTAGAGAACAGAATCGCCAGGGATTCAAGTTAGGTTGTTTTCCTTTTTAACTCCCTCTAAACAACAGAAGTCATCAAGGTATATGCAGTATCATCATCTCCTGTGGCTTGGGAGCTTTATAAATACACTTTTAAATTTAGATTGCTCAATGGCTTTTGATTGTTCAAGTAGATAGAAAAAAATGGCATGTTCCTTGCCACAAAGTGTGACATGTCTGAGATGATAATCTCTCAGGAATAAATACAGTCAGTCTAAATCTACATGGGACAAATGCTAGGGAACTGGGCAAGTGTTTTGTTTTTGTTGGCATCTGCTATCACAGGCTTGCTACTAGTCTGGTAAAGGAACAATTGTATAGTTTATTAAGAGTAATACAACTAGTTCCTGCTACGAACTGTAGGCTAGGGTTCCCAGGAAAAGGAAATGCCTGCTCCTTGTTGCAAAGACCATCTGCTTCCTGGCTAATGCTGACTTGTTAACCAGCTAAGATGAGACCACAGTGTGCTTGGCACTGGGCAAAGTTAGCTCCCAGCCCAAAGAATTTACAGTCTAATTCCATGCTAAAGACCCAGGGTGGGAAGAAAAAAGTTGAAACGTGTTAGATGTCATCCATGCTTTAGGGCCACACCTACATGTAAAATAAACGTGCTCGTTACAGTGCACTGTGGGAGAAATCTGAGTGGATGGCCCAGAGTGCGTGGATGACATTTGTGCACAGTGATGCCAGCATAAGACAGAATGAATTCTGGGATACCCTGTGAAAGTGGGAGGAAAGAGATCTAGACAAACAAATTACCAAAGCAGAGTTAGGGAGTCCTGCCTGTATTATAAAGATTTTGGTGCCTACAAAGTCAACTGATGTGCACAAAGCAGTCCAGAGGGCACTGTGCTAACTACGGTGTATGGAAAGACAAATCCAGGATCTAACTGCCCTGCTAAGCAGTTACAAGCTAGCTTTTAAAAGCTCCTGGGAAAACCATAATCCACAAATCCTCTGCCCTCTCCATAGAGCTCAAAAGAGATAGCTCTTCCATTATTTAAGTTGTATCAATAATGCTGCCTCCTTTTTACCATGTTCCTGTCAAGATGGTATATGGAGCAAGTCTTCTGTGATAACACATCACTGTTCAGAGCTGGTAAATGTCTTGGTTGAGTATCTTGGACAACGTCCTTTGAAACATAATACACACGTGGACAAAAAGTTACAAGTCTTGGCTAACAATTTACTAGTCTTCATCTTTGGGAGCAAGAGTTAACGGTGTATTTCACAATAAGGTCCATTCTCTCTCTTGACTTCCCCAGTCACTTCACACCTGGTTATCGGTGGTGAGAGCAGAGTACTTTCTAGTCCTGTTGGTATAAGATGCCAGTCTTAACAGGTTTAAAAAGAACTGAGGTATGGAAAGTAAGCTCTTATCTTTCCAGATTCCAAAGGTCAAAAAGAGCTGATTTATAACTTGCTAAAGTTATAAATATAACTTTATTTAAATACAAATATATAAACTTTATAACATAAAGTTCCAAAAGTAACTGCATGTTTTCTTGTTGGCTGCTAAGCATTTGCACTCTTAACAAGCAGTCACTAATAAGGTAAAAAATTCAGTTATGAAGTTTAGGAAAGTTGAGATGTTGTTAAGATACTGGTACCTGGTGAAAATCAAGGATGCATCTTGTCATGATGAAACTGGAGGTGGTTAAAACATGCGATTAGTGGAATTTAAAAGTTTGCTTTAACTCCAGGGTAGAGTCTTGATATCTCATGGAAGAAAAGCATTGGGAGTTGAGAGAAATAAGAACAACAGAGTTGTATGTCTAACATGTAAATAAGTTTGAGACTGTTTTCTGCAATGCTGACTCTAATGTTGCTGGTGCTCTCTGGGTTGGGCTGGTCTGTCTCTGTTATAGACACTTGCATCAGACGGGCACGTTGGCTGTGGATGCTACAGAAGACCCTTACCGGGACGCCATGGAGTGTGCAGATGAGGACATCACTGACAAGGTTTGAATGCTATTTCAGCTTCATCTGTTTTGCCTTAAAGGAGGAATAGCATCTGAACGTATTGTTAAGCTCTGTTTATATGGCCATTGATTTTAGAATTACTTTCCCTTTTAGTGGAAGGAGCATGTATGTGTACTGGCTAAATCAAGTGGTCAGTGACTAGAACATCCAGATTTTGTATCTGGCTCTGTCTGACTAGCTGTGTGATCTAGAGCCAGTCATTTCTTTGCGTGTCTGCTCATTTAGTAAAGTTGGTATATTGGTCCTATTGCTACAGTGAGTAATTGAATGCTTTTAAGGTGCTTTGAAATCCTTGGGCATAAGTTTCTGTGGAAATGCAAAGTATTAATCACTTGTTATTGGAAGCTTGGCTGATATTGGATAGGTTAACACAAAGGATAAAGAAACAGGTGACTAATACAGAGCATTCTGCACTCAGCTGCTGGGTATAATTTGACAAAATGACCAGGAAAGAATTGTCCTGTTCCTGTGTTGGGTTGGGAGGTCTAATTGCTGTCTTTTCAGTGAGAATTAAGGCTGAATTGCCCAGGCTTGCAAATTTGAGTTTTGCTTTTTGGTGGGAAGTGGCTTGTGATGCCTCTTCCTTACAGTTACTAAACAATCCTGTGTTTTGTGACCTCTTCATTGTGATGACAGGAGGCTTGCACATGTAGTATTAATCTAAATAGGTGATATTGCTGGCCTGTTAATACAATGTACAGGCATTGCGGGTGTTGTTTAAAGTAATTATACTTACTCAGGAATATTGGTACAGAAAAATCTATTTTATAATCAGCTTATTTTGTGTTTCACAGTAGTAATTAAAGTGATCTAATGCCACTTTCTCTAGTATGTAAAGCTGTCTGGCTTGAAATAAGGACTTCTGTCTTTCCCTTGCCATTACTGCACAGTGAGGATATAATGCTGACTTTGTGACATCCCTGATGAGCTTTGCTGGGATGTTACAAGCAAAGGATTATATGACAGGAAAAGATGCTGGATGAAAGGAAGGAAAGCTTTTACTGGAACACCAATAGCTAAAAATAGCTGAGGGACTATGGAAAACTCCCAGTAAAATGAATTGTGGCTTGTATAAATGTGCATGAAAATATCCTTTCAGAACTGGTTTAATTTTAGCACAGTGGTTCCCAAACTTTTTAGACTCCAGGCACCCTTCTATAATACCCAGTTTTAAAAATTATTTATTATAGTCCTTGCCTCCTTGCAGAGGGGCTGGGCACTTGGGGTAGTGGGAGGAGGAGTAGCTGGGCAGGGAAGAGCCTCCACTTACCTCCTTGTACATGCTCTTGCTGTAGCACTCATGTTGAGAATCACTGTCTTAGCATTATAAGAGGAAGCTTCATGGATCAATGTGATGAGAGACAATATAGAGCGTCTAAAGATACCAAACTCTTGCATTTGACAGCACTTTGGTGTGATTATAGTATAACATAACTTATAGTAAGTCTCTCTTAAAACTTATGCTAGAGTTTTCAAACCTGCATGCCTAAAGGGCATATAAATGTATTCTGACTTCAGGGTACTGAGCAATTACATGCAGCTTATGGTAGCTTCAGTTGTGCACTCAAACTCTGCTGGATACTAAGCTAATTCTTTAAAGAGCCCAAATATGTATTTTGTAACTTAACTTCAGGCAGCAGGTTTGAACGTTTTAGTTTTAGTTTTCTTAGTTCTGAATTGACACTCTGGAGTTGGTGTAGATTTTTGCAGAACTTGTCCTTCACTCCAAAGTATTGTGTAAAATTGACTTTTCGGGCACATCTGTGGTAAAGAAAAAAATGTTTTGTGTTGCTTGATCTGATCTTACTTGGATGTTGTGTCTTAAGCTTTTGCATGAATAGATACTTTGTCTTTTGTAAACGTATCCTCACCACTTGTTGTTTATAGCATGCAGTGATTGTTTTCTTGACCACAGTGGTCACAATTTTGAGTACTGCAGCTTGGCAGGATATCAAGAGCGCATTTCTTATGGTATATTTACCATCACCTTCCTTTTATAACATATAGATTAGAACAGGGAAGTATATAGCTCAGGGGAAGGGGAGGAAGTAATTGCAAAATTAAAATGCAGATTTGCAACCCAAAGGAAAATTATTTTTTCTGATTTTACATGGTTTCTTACTTCTCTGCCAGAGGATCTCGAGTGGTGGGGAGGAAAGTGAAATCTCATCAGGTCCGTATTAAAAATTAATTTAAAATTAGTTTCTGGTCCTGTAACTGCCCCGAGTCCCTCCTCTATTGCTTGTGGTTTGACAGTAATGTGTTATTTTCTTTAAAAGAAAAAAAAGTGCATTTCCCCACTCCTTTTGTGACATTCCCCCTCCCCACCTCCTTCCACCCTCTTTGGGCCTAACAGAAAACATTGGTACAACTGTAAAACTGACTGGGCATAAGTAGTGTTCCACATTTTCAGTTTTTACTGATTTTTTTTTTTTTAAGTTATTTGGTTTTTACTGATTTACACCCATTTTTCAGTTCACTCAATTTTACTGGGTACAGTAAAATCCCTGGCATTTAACTGGCATGAGTTAACTGGCATGAGTGGGGAATGGCTGGGGATGCCAGTAAGCTAAAAATGACGGTTACTTGAGGCTCAGGTTTCCAGCCGGATGTGGAGAGGGGGGTGGCTGGAGCCGCTGCTTGGGGGCACGGGGCCCCTGGCTCTGACCCCGGGCAGGGCAGGAGGGGCTGTGGGAATTGCTCCTGGGGTGCGTGGGTCCCAGCTGCACCCCAGCAGCTCTGGCTGGGGCCCTGTGCCAGGAGCTGTGAGCCCCGCCAGGGGGGCAGGCAGGAGAGTTCGGCCTTGCTCCCTACAGTGGATGCTGCACCCAGCTGCTCCACACAGGCCCGCGGGACTGGAGCCACTGCTCAGGGGCGCGTGGCTCCCAGCTCTTACCCCAGGTGGGGCGGGAGGTGCTGGTGCTGGGGATTGGATCCTCCCTACACCCACACTGCACCTGGCCACATGCCACTCTCCCCAGCCCCTGGGCTGCGCCATGCAGGCAGGAGGTGTCTGCTACCTCCGGTGCCAGTGCAGCAGGGGTTAGGGTGCTTGGGAACAAGCAGAGCCCCAGGGGGTTTGGGGTGCAGCACTGCCCAGCAACTTCAGGAAGCTGGTGTCGGCTGCTCACAGGGCTGCTGCAGCAGGGGCTGGGGTGAGTGGGGACAAGCTGCGCCATACCCCGTGCCCCCGGGGTTCTGCTTGTTCCCATTCACCCCAGCCCCTGCTGCAGTGGTCCTGGGAGTAGCTGATGCCAGCTCCCTGCATCATGGCATGGTGTAGCCCAGAGGCTGGGGTGAGTAGGGACAAGCGGAGCCTAGGGCGGGGGGGGGCCACGGCACAGCCCAGCAGCTGCAGGCAGCTGGCATTGGCCACTCCCGGCGCCACTGCAGCAGGGGCTGGAATGAGTGGGGGCAAACTGTGCTGTGCCCCATGCCCCCTGGGGCTCTGCTTGTTCCCACTCGCAGATTCATAGATGTAGGTTTGGAAGAGACCTTGTAGATCTTCTAGTCTGACCCCCTGCCCTGGGCAGGAGAGAGAAACTGGGCTCAAATGACCCCAGCTAGGTAAATGTCAAGCCTCCTCTTAAAGACCCCCAAGGTAGGAGCCAGCACCACTTCCCGTGGAAGTTGGTTCCAACTCCTAGCCGCCCTGACTGTGAAGTAGTGCCTTCTAATGTCTAGTCTAAACCTACTCTCTAACAACTTATGGCTGTTATTCCTTGTTACTCTGGGAAGCTCTCGGGGGAACAAGGTCTCTCCCAATCCCTGCTGGTCCCCCGCCTAGTAAGTTTTATAGACGGCCACCAGGTCCCCCTTCAGCCTTCTCTTGCGAAGGCTGAACAGGTTCAGGTCCCGTAGCCTCTTCTCATGGGGTCTGCCCTGCTGTCCCCAGATCATGCAAGTGGCCCTCCTTTGGACCCTGTCAGTGCTGTCCACATCCCTCCTGAAGTGTGGCGCCCAGAAATGGATGCAGTACTCCAACTGCGGCCTGACCAGTGTTGCATAGAGGGGGAGGATCACCTCCTTGATGTTGCTTGTAATGGATCTGTGGATGCACGACAAATTACGGTTAGCCTTACTGAGCGTGTTCTCGCATTGTTGGCCCATGTTCATCTTGGAGTCAGTAATGACTCCAAGATCTCTTTCTGCCACCGTGCTTTCAAGAAGGGAGTTCCCCA